AACTGGGGGTCCTGCTTAAGCATGTCTGCCAACGCCTGATGCTTGGCACGAACCTCTTTATACTTCTTCGCCATTTTGGTGAAAGTGGCCGCTTTCTTTTGTTCACGCCACCTCCTCTCCACCGTCGACAGTGAAGTCAACCGCCAGACCTCCGGGCCGAGGAACTACCTCGTCAACCGACGGAACTTCTCCGGTCTCTATCTGTTCGGCACCTCCCATTGCCGGAGGTGGCCCTTCAACTACAGGAAAATCTATCGGAAAAGCATCGTGGGAAGAACTGCCTGCCATTGTTGATCTACTAAAGAGAAAGGGATAGAATCGGTGGGCAAGATAAAGGTTATCACAATCAATGGAAAGAAAGGAGAAGATGAATTAGCAGAACGAAAAAGTTTCCTCAGAATCTCTCTCAGATGAACAATGAAGATATGAGAAATGAATGCCTCAACCCACCTTTATAGGCAACATAAATGGCTTTCGCGAAACCGAATAGCCGTCATTAACTGCACGACCAACCGTAAAACGGTTCGGTCCTGCCGAAGCATGCGTCATTATGACAAGCTCCGCGAAGCGGCTTCTCAGCCATCCGCCAACGTCCCACCGTCAGAATAATCGCAACGGCCTGCGAACGCTGAAAGAATGCGTCGTGCGCCTTCAAAATTCTGGACGTGACCAAATACGTACCCGGCGCATACTCATTCTCCACGGCCATCGCCATTATATGAAACGCTACGGCCATCTCCAATATATGAAAGGCTACGGCCATCGCCAATATATGAAAGGCTATAGCCATCCCCAATATATGAAAGGCTACGGCCGTCTCTAATATATGAAAGGCTATGGCCATCCCCTTTATTTGAAAGGCTATGGCCGTCTCTAATATATGAAAGGCTATGGCCATCCCCAATATATGAAAGGCTACGGCCATCTCTAATGTATCAAAGGCTCTCCAATATATGAAAGTCTACGGCCATCTCCAACGTGTAAACGACTAAGGCCACCGCCGTTAATAAGTCGACCCCCTTATTCGAGTTTTTTCAAATCACAATCGATGAAGTCCGCTCATCGAGCTCGGCCGAAACACGACCTCAATAAGCGGAGGGACTAACTGTATGGGTCAGAATCCGATCTCACGGTAATTAACGGAGTTAATCTCGTCTTGAGCTAATCCATAATTAATAAGTGGTATGGCCACTTATTCATAACAGGATTCGACTCTTGTCCGATTTAATCTACGAGGGCACGGCCCATTCATTCCCCCATGGGGACGGAACCTCAGCGTGGCCACGGCCATTTATTGCCAGCTCACGAAGCTCACATCTATAAATACTAAGAGTGGAAGCCCTAGAAAGGGGGCTGCTTCTTCACCACTATTGAGAAGAGAGAGAGAAGAGAAAAATATACCCATCTTATGGGAAGAGAAAACACCATTGTAAGGCTCTGAACCTCTTCATGGAGAGGCAGATCAAACCAATCTTTATCAATAAAAGCTGTTAAGATTTCTTCTCCTAACCTTGAGTACTTATTTTCATGTTCTTCGCTTGGTCCAATGGATTATTACGATTTGCTATGATTTTCCCGTAACTTATTTGTATTGTTTTGCACTCATAAAGCACATGATAACTTTTGAGCAAGCAGTTTTCATACCATATATTTCTTATTTTAAGTCCAGAAATTAGTAGGATCTTTCCTTTACGTATAGTGTTCATCTATCTCCAGAAATCATTTGGTTTTGAAGTCCAAAATTTTATGCCTTTTTCCAAGAATCACATTCATTTTTAATTCTTTTCACTTTTGGTAAACTGAGACTGCATTGATGTAGTGAAAAGCTGATGTGATATTCTACAAAGTGACCGAGGGTTTTTCTGTCAACTATGCTCTGCTAAATAGTATTTGCATGCAGACTTATATTGTTTCAGAGAACTGCCAAATTTTGCCAAGATCTGCAGGCCGCATATCCGCGTATTGGGAATATTTAGAACATGGGTGCACTAATATCTTTATAACTATATGACTTGACAATATAATTTTTTTTTTTTTTTTACGATTATCCAAGTTGATGAGCAAACTCTAATTAATATTATTAGCATTATTTTTCCTCAGACGGGTTTTCATAATTTGGAAACTATCAATAATGAAATCATTACTTATCGTTTTAAATATCTTACGTTGTATATAGCAAGTTAAAAATTATTAAAAAAATTCTTCATCTATCCTAATATGTAAATCTTTTTATGTATACATGATTTTGCGTTACTAGTGAAAGCTTATTTTTAAAGAATAACTTTAGGCAGGACCAAGAAAGAAAAGGAAAGAATAAAGAAAAAGAAGCATGGGTTAAGAAAAGAAAACAATAAAGAAAAAGAAGCATTTTTAATTAAAAACTACTTATAAGGGAGCAATTGAACCCCTAACCTTTGGGTTGAAAATGCGACCATTGACCACTAAGCCAAAGTACACACTTCAGGTTCACACGTGCTTCTTTACGAAAATCAGAAAAATATAAATGCTATGTTATATATAATTTAGGGAGGGGAACATGGATTCACATGAACTCATCCCCTCCTATGTAGATCCGTCCCTAGGAATATTCTCATAAAATCTTTCAAAATTCTGTCGATTTTAAGCCTATTGCATTTATTCCATGTTCCGTTATAGGTATTAGCTTATATTGGTTGGAGCATGAGCCCTAAGCCAAATTCATTTTATCCATTGTTAATAAACGTTCGTGTGTCACAGTAGAGCGGGACTTGGTTAGAGCATGGCCTCTAAGCCAAATTCGAACCACTTTGTTGAATTATTAGCGCAAAGGAGTAGGATCAAATAACGAGAAGGGTAAAAAGGACTCTACTTACTTCTTTTTTTCATTTTTTTTAAAAAGACTGTATCAAAATAAACATTGATGTGGTGCTTAAGCTTTCCTAAGCCGAGGGTATATAGGAAACAGTCTCTCTATCCTCACAAGGTAAGGGTAAAGTCTGTGTACACACTATCCTTCCCAGACCCCACGGTGTGGGATAATATTAAGTGTGTTATTAGTGTTGTACTGTATCAAAATAAATGAAAGAGGGACATCATAAAGGGAGAAGGATCAAACAAATAAAACAATAAAAATAGTATACTTACTTTCTTTGGGAGTATGTATGAAAATAAATGAAAGAGGGACATCACAAGATTAAACAACGTGAATATACGTTGGTCAGCAAATACTGAATTTTCATGGAAGTAAGTATAATGCACATTTTATACAAGGGTAGTACAACTCTTCTTCTGTATTTTTGCTTCGGTTTCTCCAAAAATATCGTCCAAAAATTACTCCAAAATTGATATTGAAAAGAGCCAAAACCAAATCCTAATTCGTATTAGAGTTGTAGCGTAAGGGTTATAACTTATAAGTATATTGTGCACGATTTATGGCTCACCCCTACCTCCTTACTCCTTACTCCTTCCCCCTTAAAAACAAAATTTTTAAATGTAAAAAATAAATTAGAAAAACAAATCCAAATGCCAAACCAAAGACATTTGATCTTGGAGTTCATAATGACTAATGAGTTCACAATTGTATCGGTGGTTCGCCTAAGGGGTTGATCTTTAAATATTGGGAGAATTACATATAAGTACAATTCATACACACACATTGCAACTGAGTAGTCCAGTTATAACTTTGCAAATCTATAGCCCAAAGACAATAGGCCCAAATCCGAAAACCCAGCATTTTTCACACAATCAGCATTTCTTACGGTCAACAGTGGCGGATCTAGAATTTTAAAGCAATGGATGCTTTATTGTCCTTAAGTTAAATTGACGCATAGTATAAGTGTATCACTATTTGAAACTTAAAATGAGACAATTCAATGCAAAAATATAGGGAAAATAACACTGTATAAATAATAGGCGAATATATATATATATATATATATATATATATATATATAGACACACACACAAATTTTTATATGTTATATACAAAGAGTATATACATTTTATACACTTTTGCGCTATGGGGTAAATAGTTTTGGTCACGAACTAAAAGTGATTTTTGCTCAAAAATATATTTTTGCAAACATTACAACAAAAACTAAATGGAGTACTATTTTGGACAATAAAAGTACTCCACATCAATCTCCATACTTGAAATATTTTTAAGTGATGTAGTAGAAAGAAAGAAAGAAAAGTGAATTTGAAGGAAAAACAAGAAAGCAAAAAGGTAACAAAATATGGAAAAATAGCTCAAATGAGGGCAACCGGAAAATAGAAAAGAATAGAAACAATCAAACAAGGAAAGGTCTTTCCCATCGCAGAACATACAAAAAAAAAAAAAAAACACTTGCGCCTCACACCAGTTTCGATCCCCAAAACAAGCAAAATAAAGGCCTACAATTGAATCTCTAAACCAAAGCACCTAGTTCCAGCTTTTATTTCGTGGGTGCTCATCTCTTTTATATTTAATTTTTTCATTAATTTATCATAAAATACACAGACCCTACCCCAAAGACAATGGGTGCTTATGCACCCACACCACTAAACGTGGATCCGCCGCTGACGTGAACCCAAAGACTTTTGTATTTTTGTACTAAAAATTCATCAAAAGTATAAGAATACTTGAAATCTAATTCGTTGTTCCAGTTATCATGTATATTATCTTGAGATCGTTATAGGAATGCATAAACTTAAACTTTTGGATCCGCCCCTCCTTTTTCAACATAATCACCTAAATCCAAAACTTTGTTATCGTAGAGATGTGGAAGAGCAAGCATGAGTGGCAGTGTGGTTGTTGAGAAGACTACAATTTTGTAGCAAGTGCTTTGTCATACGAGGAAAAGCCAAAGCATCAGTCTTACTTTTGGTTAACTAAATCCTTCCACTTCAACCACTAATTTCAACTTTTATACACAACCATTAACAAGGTAGGTAAATGATAATTGGGAAACTTTAGCCTTTTTGTAGAACAATAAACTAATGAAAGCCCAATCAATGTTTGCTTCAAGAGTAAGGTAACCTTATGAGTTAGAAAAGTCTTCTATAAAAGGAGAACACAAGTTTAAGAAACATTCTTAAAATATCCTTAGTTCCACTAATTAAGAAAGTCTACCAGTTCCAAGCTCTGATAAGGTAAAATCCTTAACCCCTATTTTTTTCCCCTTTATTATTGACAAAATTAGGAGGGGAGCCTTGGCGTAACAGGTAAAATTACTGTCATGTGGCTAGGAGGTCACGGATTCGAGCCATGGAAACAGCCTCTTGCAGAAATGCAGGATAAGGCTGCATACGATAGATCCTTGTAGTTCGGCCCTGTCCCGAACCTCGCGCATAGCGGGAGCTTAGTGCACCGGGCTACCCCGAACCCCGCGTATAACGGGAGCTTAGGGCTGCCCTTATTCTTGACAAAATCATTTTATCTTGTTCACAATTTTAATTTGGTTAAGAGTTTCTTGACAAACTTTTGTTGATTGTTGAAAGGATTTAACTATGGCTACTAATGGACCAAGTTGGGCAGATCAATGGGGTGCAGGAGGGATAGGTGCCATGGATGAAGATGACAGTTATTATAAGAGCAACAAAGAAAATGGAAATAACAAGAAAACCAGTGCAGGAATTGGCAAAGTGAAAGCAGTAGCAATTGCAGGTGCACAGAAAGTGAAAAATGGCCCTTCTATGGTCATCAAATGGGTTAGGAGCAAATCACAAAAGAAAAACAACTCCATTTCATGAATAGAGATAGAGATTATCTCATCTTTGTCTGGCCTTGTGTAAGAACATTCAAGATTTCAGATCAAATGTGTCAAAATAGGGGCCTTAAATAAACTTATGGATTGTTATGCTTCATTCATATCACGACTTGCTTAGATTTATCCAATTCTCGTCTCATTAGTCATTCCTAAAGAGGATAGAGTTTATATTGTTTCCTTGCCAGCTTCTTCAAGAAAGAAATTGCGAACTGCTCTAAAACAAAGTCATCTTAAAAAAGAATATTCCTATAGTAATAATTAAAGACTTGGGAACAATAACTTGAAAGTCACTGTCCCAATCAAGGTAGTGCTTACGTTCAATGGTGCCTCCGGGCTGCTACAACAACAACATATCTGAGGATGATAGTGTGTACGCATACCTAACCCTTGTCTTGTGAATATAGTAAATGGTACCTCGGGGCTGTCCCGCAAAAAGCTACAGCCCCAATATATTAAATCCAATATTCACATGATGAAAGAATATAGCAATCGAAAAGCTATAACTCACCTACTCCTGTATGAAGGACAAATATGTTAATCATAATCAAGTCTAACTTGTCAAACATTTAGAGTAACTTACATGATTGAACAGAAACAGATGAACTGTATATCAGCTCATGATGTTTAACTGCTAGCAATAATTGATATTTAAACAAAAGGTCGAGGAGAGGAATTAATTGCTAGCAACTCTACTCTTTAAACTAGTACTAGTATAGATTTTTCTGTAAAATCAATAGTATGTACTATGAATAAATGAAAATTTTAAAGCCTCCCTACACCATTCACAACCTTTGCTACAAGACGACATATCACATACCCTCTCCCGAACAACTGTATTTGTATTCTTTTTTTCACATACGATTTGAACCGAAACAAATTTATAAGGTATGAGGATATACAGTAAAGGAGCATCAATAGTTATAGAAAAAACAACTTAAGAAAAAAGGTGCTATTGGATAAGAGAGCAACAGTCGTCATCACATCTGTACATGGTAAGGTTATTCAGAAGAGGACCATAAGCTCCAGTCAAATTTGATGTATATATTAATGAAAATGAACGACAACAGTCAGCAACGCGTGATGAGATCAAAGAAATAGCAGATTTACAACGGAGATAGTAACTTTGCAATATTAATTTCCAAGCTCAAGGAACCCAAATGTATTTTCGCCGCTGTATGTCATGTAGAGAAATCCATCTTCATCCTTATTTTCCTCATATATTGCTGACAACAGAGCAGCTGCAATGAAAGAAGATGTAATTATACAACTATCAGGATAAGTAAAAGACCTACATAATCCGTCTCCTTACCCGTGGGAGGCAAAGTGTTGTTGACAAAGACAAATATGGCCTTCTCAGCACTGAGCTTGATCCTCTTCCGAACCACATAAACAAACTGGCCGACAGTCAAATCAGCTGGGACGAGGTATCTGCATCACAAGGTAAGACAAATGAGCATTAACAGGGCGGCCAACCCAGTCCAACTATGGACAATCAGACATAGGAACCATAAGTGACAATAACATTCGATACAAATGCTGCAAACATTTCACGGCTAATGAACACTAAGCATGTTTAGTTGCAGAGGAGAAACATCCAAGCGATCATAGGTCCATTCCTGCCATTCACTAAATTAAACTGAGCTTATTAGCTATTTCCACACGCAATCCCATTCTCCATAGAAATATCATGGACTCAAGTATTTGATCATTTACATTACGAGAACCTCAGGGAAGACAACAGCTTTTTTGGAATTCAAATTTAACAGAAAAGCATACGTATTCCATCAACCTTCCTTCCAGATTCTCCTATACGGCTATTGGTATGAATTTTTTTTTCCTAAAAAGTGATATGAAAAATGAAAATTAACACCGTTAAAGCTTTCACATAAAATATTACCACCCCCAACTTCCCATGACAATATCCTTATCTCAAACTAATAGGAACAAACACCTCATATTACTAGCTATGCTAAAACCAAACATTTGATCTATAAAACAGGGTAAGATGCACAAAGTCATTCTTGTAACCATAAGTCAACAATAACCATTAAAGAGAACAAGAACGCAATTTACTGATGACCAGTAGGGCGTGCCAAAACACAATCCATGTAACTGGATTGGTAGATTTAATCACCTTAGGGTAGAAGCTCATAATTAAGCACTTGATTTTGAAAATTTAACGTCCAAAACATCCAGGAAAAGAAGGAAAGTAGCAACTTACTTCTTCTTATCAATGTCAGGGATATCACTCCTCTCTGCCTTCTCAACAATCACCTGAATTAGGAAACTTGAATGTCAGAGGGGCACACAAGAGTACTAAGTATTGAATTACATCCACACGCTCTTCAGATAATAAAGATCATACCGGAATTCGATCAGGATACTTCTCTCGGATGCGAGAAGACTCTGACTGCCTCCTCTCTGTAAACAAAACCACATTGTGCACTCATCAGAATTTACACCTGAAAGTACTAGCTTTATTGTCTGATGTTTTCAAACAAAAATAGGATATGCTCAGGAGAATGGAGAAAAGTTATACAGTCTCTTCTCCATGAGCTAACCTCCAGTTCATAAACTTGTTTAGCAATTCCAAAGAGTACATAAATTTTAAGACCAAAAAGTCAAAATAACCACCATATTCCCCTATGTTCTATTTTTCTATAAACATAGGCACACCCACACATGCAGAAGAGAAAAAAGAAGAAGCTTAAAGCCAATCATGCAAACTTTGACATGATTCGTGAGTGTTACATGCTTTACAAGTAGGTTTGTTAATTCTCAACATAAAATTTGGAAGCATCTTGATTACTATTACACACGTGTAAAACACTCAGAATGTGATTTTTCAGCTCAAAATAGTCAAAACAGATATCCAGCTAAACATAGGAAGAAAAAAAAAACAGACATAGACAAGCAGAAAGGCAACAGTGCCTCAATTGTTTGTCTTCTTGAGCTGAGAGTCTATCGGAAACAGCCTCTCTACCCCCTCGGGGTAGGGGTAGGTCTGCGTACCACTATTGGGATTTCACTGAGTCATTGTTGTTGTTGTATAGCAGAAACGCAACAATGCCTCAATTATGAGACTTTTTTTTTGATAAGGTAATAATTTAACTAAACTGCAAATATATACAGCTCCAAGCACTAGACAGTATAAAATGTCAACGAAGGGAGATAAAACTTTCGTCACGGGTGAAGCTAGGTCTATTGAATCCCCTACATTGAAAAATTATACTGTTTAAATAGGGAAAAAGCTAATTTCTTTTCGTTATATATAAGTTGTTGAATCCCCTACAATACGGAAAAGTTCTAGTAAAGTGGCAATGCGGTTCAAATATTGCTTTAGGTCATAGGTCCAAATCCCAGGTGTGACATTCTTTAATCACCTTGTATAAATTCCTGGCTCCGCCACTGACTGTCATATGGAATAAACATTCAGGTCTCATTGTTGTTTCACCAGATATTGTATCTATTCAGTAGTAGACAAACCTCAAACTGGAAAACCAGAAGAACATAATAGCATTAAACACCAAGGACACAAAAGGGAAAAGGCACAAAAATCAGCAGAACTCCTACCCCATATCCCAGAACTGATCAATATTAAGTTTTTCAGCATGATAAAAGATCAAATACATGAACTATGATCACCTATGAAAGTTCAAGAAAGACGTAAACAAGTCAAAGATACAAAGATACATACACACAATCAAACAATTTGTAGTATAACAACAAAAAGCTGAATTAGAAAACAAAATTACCCATGGGGTGTTCAAGCTTGAAAGAACTCTTGGCCATGACAAGACTCAGACTTTGATCTTTACCTGCAAATTTCAGACAGCCATACACATCAGAATCACACCCAAAAAAATAAAAATAAAACACATATCAGGAAAGTACACAAATAATCATATTGTAATGGACTAAGGGCATGTAGAAATCAGTAAGAACGGAAATTCGCGCAAGAGGATATCTTTAGAACTTACCACAACAGAAGAAAATCAAAGAATTGAAGAAGGGTTGTGATCAATTTGACTGTTTTTACAAAAAGAAAAGGGTGCGCCTTTGAAAGAACAAGAAATAATGACTTTAAACAAAACCACACTATTTAAATGGAAAAATTACAAGGGTTTTTTCTGCTACACGGAATCAATTGGAGAAGTTTGGATTCACAAGGAAACTACAAGTATTTGTTTAGTTTCGTACTCTGTTCGGTGAGAATTTGTCGGAGGCAATAATTCTGTAATACGACATCGCAAAGAATGTTTAAAGGTTTAAACGACTTCGTTGGGAGATTCATTGGCTATTGGGTAAGGATCTGGTTTGCTCATCTAATTGGGGCACCTAGTTTATTTGATTTAGAATTCCCTCGGACAAAGTCCAAGTAAAGAATATTTAGGCCGTTTGGCCATGAGTTTTATCAAAATAAATTTAGGATTTATTTTCGAGATTTTTATATTCTTATGCCACATAGAAAACCTTATTACCCTCAATGTTTAAGGTTTGACTTAATTACACTTAGTATACCAAATTACCAATTCTATATCATAATTAATTAAGGGTATAATTAATTGTACGTTTTTTACTCCTTAATTAAAGGAATCTGTATATCCCAATATCCCCACTCACCCTACGTTTTTCTCTCCTAACCCCTCAGTCCCACCCACGTTTTACCCATACCCACGTTCTTTTTACCATTTTCCATCTTCTGAAACCAAATTCTCCCTCTAAATTCATAGAAAATTGATGAAACCCTTCAACAAACTTGGTTCCCCATTTTACTCCAGTTGAAGTTCATCAATGAAGAACAACAAAGCTTAGAAACAAAGTCCTAAAAAATCAGCAGTAGCTGATATACCCTCATTTGATTTGGGTGTGTTATCACCAAAATCACCCAAAAAGCAAGGCAAATCTCCACATGCAATTGCAGAGACTACTCATAGTTCCTCTCCCCGACAAATTAGAGCCGAGATGAGAACCAAACAAAAACATGATGTAGATGCTGGAGAAACTTCTACACCAGGCAAACAAGTCAAACGAAAAGGAAAAGAGATTTTGGTAGACGGCGACTTTATAGAAGAGGTCCCTAATCCTAGTATTTCAAATTCTATGGAAGTCTGATTTTACGGTAATATCTATAAAATTCCTACATTTATCTACAAATAAACTACACATCAGTTTTAGTATGTATAAAGCAATATTGTTTTCATGATTATCTACAACTACATTTATACTACAATTAAACTACAATCTATGTTGAAAAAAAATTTTCTCTTCATCTACAAATTTTCTACAAAAATTCTACAAATATACTACAAATCAGTTTAAGTATGTATAAAGCAGTATTATTTGTAAGGGTACCTACATAATTACTACATTTATACTACAATTAAACTACAATCTATGTGGAAAAAGATATTGACTACAAAATTTTTTCTTCGTCTACAATTTGTCGTTGCTGAGGTATTGTTCAATATTTTGTCGCTTTTTTGGATTAAGAAAAAAAGACGAAGAACAGAGTATCGACATAATTGATTTCTACAATTTGACTTGAATTTGTTGAATATTTTGTCGCTTTTTTGATCAGATTGAGGAAAAAAGTCGACGAACTGAGCTTTTGCAGAACTGATTTCTAAAAGTTGATTCGAATTTGTTGACGATTTTGTCTTTTTTTGATTTGTGACTTAAGGAAAAATATCGAAGAACAGAATTTTTGCAGAAAAGAGCCTATGTAATTTGATTTTAAATTGAAGATAAAGGATTTCCGTTTCAAATTTGATCTGAAGGTCGCTAAATCAATTAGAATATTCTGTTCCTGATTTGTAGCACGCCTAATTAGGAAGATTCAGCTACTAATAATTAGTATTTAATGAATGGTATAATAATTGCAGAAAAAGTATGAACATGGCGGGTAAATTAGAAACTATTCACATATTTAGTAATAAAGTTTCATATATGGTATAGGAAGGAAAAAATCCCTTTATTTTCAAAACTCATGTTTGGCCATAAATTTTGCTCATATTTTGGCCAAATCCCAAATCTGATTTTGGGCCAAAATCCCAAAACTTGGGAATTATATACATGTTTTTTCAAAATAAAGTTGAAAAATATGTTTTGAAAACGTATGTCCAAATACATTTTCATCTTCAAACCAAACTTCACCCAAATCAGATTTTTTAATAAATTTGGGATCTATGGCCAAACGCTAGCTTAAACTATACTAGTTTTAGTATACGCAGGATGCATGTGTACCGCGTCGATGCATATTACAAAAATATAAGCCCTTAAAAATAATTTTTTTTTAAATATAAGCTCTTGCAAATGACAAATATTGAGCCTATTTAGTTAAAAAATTAGAGGCTAAGCATGAAACAACCAAGATGATTTTGAAAGTTTAGTGTTCTTTTATATTAGTTTCGTATCAAAATAATCGTCTAGATACCATGTATTCTAGACAAATCAGCTACATAAAGAAATAAATTAGTGATGAAAAAATGATGTAGTTAAATAATAAAATTATCGCTAGTGACAGATCAATATAAAAAAGTGATTAGTTACCAGATGAATTTCGTAACTAATTCCTATTTTTAAAGTTAAATTGTGCAATAAAATTTCTTAGTAATAATATTAGTTTCTCTTTTAACACGAATTTTTATTGAGGTAATTTAGGTATTTTTGTAAATTAAATTACTGTAATTAATTTTTTATCACAAATTAATTATTACTTTTTTCCAAAAGTATTTACTCTTCCCTAAAACCTAATGTCGTAGAAAATTTTGAGAAATAAACGAATTTAACAACCAAGCTTCTAAAAACATACTTTTCATTTAAATTTTAAAAATAATAAATAAATCATATGAAGGAAAAATAAAGAGAAAAATTGGTCTTTATGATTAAACAAGGACAAAGAACAGAAATATTACACAAAATAGTGAAATTTCCTTGTTGGAAACTAACGAAAAAAGTTTCTCCTACTTTTTTGGATTCTTTTATTGTCTTGATATTTTGTATTCTTATTAGCAGAAGATATCAAACACTAAATTACTTAGAAAAAACTTAGTTGATTTAGAACACCTAAATATTTGGAAAGCTTTTTGATTTTACAATTTTATCCGATGTAAAATATATTTTTAAAGGGTAAACAAGCGAATGACATTTCGCTAATAGCCTTCGTGCTTTTAATATAGTACTAGTCATATGGTACGTGCGTTGTGCGTGTATCCATATCAATGAATATAATTTTTTTTAAAATTACATAAATATTATATTATATTCTCTGAATTATAAAATAAAATTAATTGAAAGTCTTTGTGCTTTTAATACTTTTATAGATAGATAGATAGATATTACAACATAAGCAGAATCTATTCAATTTTAAATTTCTAATATTAGGACTCCTACAAAATTCACATAGAAAATTTAATAACAAATTTATGTAATTTTAAAGTCTTAAATATTAAAAAATTAAAACATGATTTAATTTATAGTACATTATTAGGTCTTTTTGGAATAAAACTTGTTCTACAAACAGCTTTGTGGATTCACATAATTATAATCTTGTCACGACCCGAATTTTTCACCCTCGGGGGTCGTGATGGCGCCTACTAGTAGGAGCTAGGCAAGCCAATTCTCAATTACCTCTTTTAGCAAACATCGTCAGTATTAGAAACAATGAAGCATTTAATAATAAAGCGGAAGTTTCAAATATATTTAACTGAAAGAAATGCGGAAACTTGACAAAATCCTCTACCCAAGACTGGTGTCACGATACTCACGAACGTCTAGAGAATACTAAATACAAGGTTCGAATGAAACATAAAACTGTCTGCTTCGGTACAAATGATAACAAACTGAATAAAATAGAAAGGGACTCCGGGCCTGCGGACGTCAGCAAGGCTACCTCGAATGTCCCTGGACTGAAGTCAGCTCCCGAATCCTCTACTGATGTCCACAAGCTGCTGCTCTGGCGCTGTGATCTGTGCAAAAAGACGCACAAAGTGTAGCATCAGCACAACCGACCCCATGTGCTGGTAAGTGCCTAGCCTAACCTCGGCGAAGTAGTGACGAGGCTAGGATCAGACTACCAGATAAACCTATGCAGTTCAAATATATACATACGACGGAAAGAAATACGGGAAGTAAACAGTCAATAACGGAAGGGGGAACATGTTATGGGGAGGCAACAGTAACGATTAGGAAAACACAATATAAAGATGGAAACAACCAAAGAATTTATAACGAATCAAGAAACGAACACTCCAACTAAACACCCTTGAATCAGCAGCTGTTGCGGCGTGCAACCCGACCCTCAAATATCATTGTTGCGGCGTGCAACCCGACCCTCAAATATTATTGTTGCGGCGTGCAACCCGACCCTCAAATATCATTGTTGCGCCGTGCAACCCGATCCTAAAATAACACTGTTGCGCGCGTGCAACCCGATCCTCAAATATCATTGTTGCGGCGTGCAACCCGATCCTCAAATATCATTGTTGTGGCGTGCAACCCGATCCTCAGATATAACGTGGTAGGCGCACCACACGATCCTATTTCATACTACTACGTGGTAGGCATACCACACGCTCCCATTTCATCGATCCTCAAATATAACGTGGTAGGCGTACCACACGATCCCATTTCATACTACTACGTGGTAGGCGTACCACACGCTCCCATTTCATCAATCACAATATAACAAAATAATCCCGGCTGGGGGACAACAATGTATAACTTCCCGGCAAGGGAACAACAACATAATAACTTCCCGGCAAGGGAACAAAATGTCAAATCAAATGTCCCGGCAAGGGAGAAACATCTATAACCGCACTGGTCCCAACATCTAACTACCGCAGGTATAACCGATCCTGTTGCAACGTCTAACTGCCACAACTATAATCAATCCAGTTACGACACCTATCTACCACAACTATGATCAATCCTGTTACAACATCTAACTACCACAACTATAATCAAACTTGTTGCTACACCTAACTACCTCAGCTATAACCAACCTATTACAACACTTAATTACCTCAGCTATAACCAACCTATGACAACACTTAACTACCTCAGCTATAACCAACCTATGACAACACCCAATCTATGACAACACTTAACTACCTCAGCTATAACTATAGTCATCACTCAACACAAGGAAGCATTAACCTAAGCGTCCGTAGTATCAATTAAGAACACAGTACAAGGGAACCACAATTCGAAAATGGCCTGCCAAGGGACAACATAATGATCTTTTCTCTCCTCACTTTTACTTCACAATTCACTTCACAACTCGAGCCAATGCTCTAGAGGTTCAATTATCACTTATACTTTCGTAATTCGCTATACAACTGGAGCCAACGCTCCTCA